GCGTACAGCTGCTTTAGCCCCATCGTACATATCCTTCACTATGGAGACCAGGTGCTCCGGAACGTTACGTTCTCTGAGCGCTCTCCAGAGTACAGGCCTTGGCAGGCGGTCGAATGCCTTCTCAAGGTCCAGGAAGGCTAGGTAGCAGGGTCGCCGCTTCTCTCGGTACTTCTCCATCAGCTGTCTGGCGATGAAGATGGCGTCAGTGGTGGACCTTTCGGGCATGAAGCCGAACTGTTCCTGCGAGATAGGGACAAGTTCCCTCAGCCTAGTGTTGACCAGGCGCTCGTACAGCTTCATGGTATGGGGAGTCAAGCTTGATCCCGCGGTAGTTGGAGCACTCCGTCGCGTCCCCTTTCTGTTTGAAGATGGGAACGATTGTGCTGCTCCTCCACGCATTCGGCATCCTTCCTTCAGCTGTTACGTTGTTTAGGAAGTGCGTGAGCCAACTCACCCCATGCTCTCCAAGGGCCTTCCATGCCTCTATCGGTACCCCGTCTGGACCCACTGCTTTCCCAGCTTTCATTCTCCCTAGCTCCCGGCGAACTTCATCCTTCGTCCAGGGAGTGATGGGACCTGCCGTCGCCTCTATCTGTGGGCTATCCTTGCGAGGGAATTCTTCGTTCAGAAGTCCCTCGAAGTATTCTTCCCACCTCTTCCTGACTTCGGCTGGTTTCCTGAGAATGGCCCCGTTGCTGCTCTTCACAGTCTTTACGACCCTGATGTCCTGAGCTGCGCGATGCCGAGCTTTAGCCAGGCGGAAGACGAACTTGTCCCCTTCTCGGCCTTCCAGCTTGTCGTACAGGGCGTCCATTTCCGTATTCTTGGCCTTAGCAACGGCTGCCTTAGCGAGTCGCTTGCAGCTCTTGTAGGCAGCGTAGTCTTCTGGGCTCCGTGTCTTTTGCCAGCGTTTGTATGCTTCCTTCTTCTGCTTGACGATCCTCTGGACTTCCTCGTTCCAGAACCAGGCTGCCTTGTCTCCTCGGATACCGCCTCGCGTCTCTCCCAGGACTTCTTTTGCGCACTGTAGGATGACCTCTGCTGCGTGGCTCCAGGTGTCCTGGACTGGCCCATGTGGGTCCGGGAGCCCAGCCTCCAGTATCCTTCGGCCGAGGCTATACCTTTCTGCGTTCCGCATTTTCCACCAGCGAATCCTTCGCTCTGTTTTCACTCTCGCCTTCTTGGGGAGGTCTATCGCGATATCTGCCAGGAGAGGTCTGTGCTGAGGGCCCAGGTCTTCCCCAGGCAGTACCTTGACATCCTTGACAGTTTTGAGAGACGATCTTCTCACCAGGACGTGGTCGATTTCCGTTTGTCTCCCTCCACTGCTGTAGGTTACCTTCTGAGTCCTCCTTTTCGCGAAGAAGGTGCTACAGATTGCTAAGTCGTGGGCTGTAGCTAGGTCAAGGATCCTTTCTCCTTCAGCATTTCTCGCTCCTATTCCTTGACCTCCGTGCACCCTTTCTAGGCCTCTTCTGTCATTTCCCACGTGGCCATTCAGATCCCCAGCTATGGTGAGGTAATCGTCTTCTGGAACCGATCTTATGGCGTCGTCCAGGATAAGGTAGAACTCATCCTTTCCGCCCCGGAGCAGCGGACTTTGTGGTGCGTACACGGTCAGTACTGTCCAGTACCCATCCATCGTGTCCATTCTCACTCCCATGATCCGGTCACTGATTCTGTTCACGGAAGAGACGCAGTCCTTCAGGGATTCCGCTACCGCTATGGCCACGCCATTCCGTTTGGTGTCTGCTCCATTGTAGAAGAGTTTGCACTTCTGCCATCTCGCGGCGCTTTGCACCTTTCCCATCGGTTTCCTGAAGGCATAGGACTTGGGATGTCCTACCGCCGATCATGAGGTCTGGCAACTCGGCGAGGTCTCCGGTAAGCCCCACGTTCAGGGTCCCTATTCGAACTAGCTTCTTTGACCGAGGTCGTTCACTCCTCGGTAGCCCTCGCATACTGACCACAGAACTCGGGCGAGGGTTCTGCGCGCCACTTCCGGGTGACGTCCTAGCTTTTACACTGATACTTTTGCGACTTGTCATGATTGTTGTGACGGGTTTCTCCATCAGCCGGCCTGTCAACCTGGGCCTGACGCTGGTAACGTCTCCATTTTTGCAATTTTTGCAAGGCATGGTTTGTGCTCGGTCAGGATTGTTACTGCGTGACCTACTTAGCGAATAAATTCTTTTAGCATAATGATCAACAAAATTACAAGAGCCAGGAAAGAAGGTTAAATTACAACAGTTGGAAGTGGGCAGATCTCACGTGCCGCTCTAACCCTTCTCTATTCGCTTGATGTTGTCTACTGACCGAATTATATCAGACTTTCGCTGACTTCCAATATTCTTTTCTATTTTTTTCTAATTGAAGAAGCGTCGTCTAGCTCCAGTGTGGTACTAGGGTAATAAAATCGCAATTAGATGCCACTATCCGGGTAGACCTTCATTGTTTCTTTTTCTTTATTGTGCGGTGGTGGATCCAATTGGATCGATTAACAATTTATACTAAACTTCTGATTCGCCCGATATGAAACCAAGAAGTGGCAAATCGATTGGCCGAGGGTTGGTTGAACATTGGATTGATGAGGGTGCAAATGCTGTCGTATGGGGGATGGGATAAGGAAAGTAATCGCTGCAGTTAAAGGAACTGCATTTCAGTTTCACGAAGAAAACGGCAGACTCAGGCAAGAGCATGGACGTTATTTTGATGAAATATGTACAATGAAGTGACTTGGTGATAGTAACTGGCGGGTTTAAAGTGTTCTCTACTGGTCTGAATCTTTCGTTCTCAGATTTTTATTCCTCGTGAATTTTTTGTTTATTCCGCATGTCCTAAGACGTAATAAAGCAAGTAGCAGCGGTAGTAATGATGTTTCTGTTGAAGAAGCTTGGAGTCTCGACACTCATGACTATGGTACATCATCCGAGAAATCGCGGCTAACACTCAATAAAGTTGCGGCTGACACTCCTACAGTTTGGCAGGTTCACAGCAAGGAAACCTAAAGGAGCAGCTGCGACCCTTCATAGTGGCTAAAGTTCTGACGGCCATACTTGGTTGTACCGCCCATCGAAACTCAAAGACTATTTGACCATCAGTCAATGGCTATTTTGTGCCATTTACCTTAAACGCGTTAAACAGCAGTTAACACTCAACGACTATTTTCTGTCACGAGTTTCAGATTTTCCACAGTTTTCCGTAATCTGTTCACAGTTGGATGACATTAGTGTAGGGTAATGCGAAGAAACGATCATTGAGCCAGAGATGGCAGAACAGCGCCTTGCTGGCATGAAACTAGCAGGCCTGGAGAACCTGTACAATGAGGCTTTCAGGGGTCCTCACTTAGGGAGTTCCGTTTTTGCTTTTTTCCTCCTGGAGGTTAGTGACTATAGATTTCTAACTGAACGCCACTATCCACAATATGCAATTGCAGGCTTTCTGAGTAAAGCTTTCTAAACAACAGTGACCAGTGTGTAAAAGGTTACGATTCCGTATTATTACAGGAAATAGATTCGGATCGAGACGAGAAAGTGACACTCAAAGAGGTCTTAGAACATTGGCATGAACACGTCGAGAAAATGACCGATAAACAACTGCTCATACTCAAGGAAGGGTATAAGTATGCTGATCTCAACCAAGATGGACAAATCAATATCACCGGCAAGTTCTTGGATACTAAATTTTTGCGCTTTGAGACCTATACCCTTTCGAAACGGGAGTTTTGAAAGGGGCCAATCTCCTCCATACACTAATTTTTCATAGTTCTTTCAGAATTCGAAATCGAAGTGAGACGAGTGCTGGCTGACATTCACTTTCCAAAAGTACACGAACATACAGGAATTTTCAGATCTCAAGATCTCAATTTGAGCACTCTATATAGAAAATGATTACTAGCGCTACTGTATAAATATTGTAAAAAAAACTTCATGACTGTATTAAAATAAAGCTGATGCTAATTATGTGTTTACTGATACTGTGGGAAATCATCAAAACCGGTCCTATTACAGCGTATTCGTAACAAATCGAGATCATTAACATCGTAGAAAAAGAGTTGACGATATTCAGTAAGGCGGGACATTTTGACACAACAGTTCAGGTGCGGATTATGGTAATCTCAGTTTCGCATACGGAGTTTACGCAATTTACACTCCATATCCCAGAAGTAGAGGAGGCGTAGGTGCGTACTTCTTTTGGCGTGGTGGCAGCTGTGCTTTTAGTGCCACTCTGCTGTTAAGTGATCATGCCTTTGTTCAGCACAAGGCAGAATGACAGTCTACAGAAGGAAAGATCTCGAAGATTCACGCATCTAATGCCATATTCAAATGAAGTACGCAACCACGCCCTCTCCATCTTCGGGATATGGCGCGTAGGACATGTTACAAGCTTCACTTCCATCCTGTTTGCTTGCTCTTAGACAGCATTAGGCCTCACGACGACTCGCTGTAACGCGCTACAATTGTCACAGCATTCCAAGGATATAGACGTGAACGCACAACAGACGGAAATCGCTCGGCACTGGTCGTTAGTATTTTGAGAGAGTATAGAAGCATAGAAGATACCAGACTGTGTAAAGGTAGCGTTTGCCTTCCTGTTATCCTTCCCTCTCTAAAAGCACAAGTGGGCGGCGCCGATCGATTCCTGTCTGCGGTTGCATTCGCGTTTATAAGACTGAAGCGCTTTGGAACGGTAGCGTGTCGACGCGCGCGCGCAGAGGTCTGAGCGCCACAGTGCCTGAAGATGCGGAACAACTGTTAGCCAGGGGAAGAGGAGCCTCAGAAAAGAATTTAAAGGACTGGTGAAGCAGCTAAGTCGGCCAAAAAGAGGTCTTCGTTTTTCGTGTGAAGTGATTAGCACTTACGCCGGGTATTACTGTCAAAAGTGCTCTGCTTCAACGATGACCCACCTAAACGGAATAGGAACCACGAGCTCTCATAAACAGAGAAAAAAAGAATAACCGATAACAAAAAGGCTTAACAATCAAAGTGAACACGCCGAGTTCAATGAGCCATGACACAATCCATCCCATCGTCCTGTTGAGGTCTGTTCACGAAGATAGGATTTGTTTCAGGAAAACTCAGTATGATGTTCTTTCTTCTTTCCTTTTCGTCACTCTTGGCCTTCAGGTTCGATTTCAAAAGTGATGACGTTCTCTCCGCTGCATCTCGAATCCACTTTGGAGCCGATTCATTCACGGACAAAGCCTTAACAAGAATGCTCGTCATGATATTATGACAAATCAAACCTTGGAAAGAGCACATCTGTCTTATTAAAATGTATCCACCGAAGTTTCACAAGCTTTAGCACGCATTTCAACGACTATTGGCCTATTTTCCCATGTATAAGCCGCCTCAAACCGCATATATTTCGCGACGGGAGCTTTCGCAATACACACTCAGGGTACGTCATTGTTTGTGGTGTGTGTGTGTGTGTGTTGTGTGTTTGTGTGTTGTGTGTGTGTGTGTGTGTGGGGGGGGGGGGGTCGTATTTGGTCGTTCTTGGCAGAGGGGTTTATGTGGCTTTGACAGAAACTTGCCGCGTGGGAAAAATTTTTTCCTGTTTATGTGTACTATGTACCTCCCCTCTCCTCCCCTCCCCCGCTCGACAGCAAAATTCTCGGGTAAAAGTGGGGAATTTCTCGAGAAATTCCGGAAAAAGTGGTAGAAAGTTAGGGGAAATCTAAGAAATGTTTCCTGTTCCACATTGGCTATATACCCCCCTTTTTTCCCGCTCGACAGAAAATCTCTGGGTGAAAAACTGGAAAATAAGGGTTGATAGGTAGGTGCTGGGGAAGGAGGGCTCGTAGCTAGACCCTCATTTAGGTGGGGAGGGGTCATACCGAGACCCTCCTTCAAGAGGGGGTGTCGTACTGGCACCACTATTTCACACATACCGTGCTGTACGCTGATCACATTCCAGACGCAGCAGATGAAGAATGCAGCGTTATCGGTTATCATTTAGCATAGCAGGGGCTGCGCTGTGATGGGACATTTTCGTTTCAGGACACTTGAAACCATGCCATTCAGTACAGACAAGATGACAGTAGTCTCGAATAGGACCATCTCACGGAAAACGTATTAGCGCCGCGTTTAAATGAATTGCGCGGCCACCCACTTTGTGTGCGAGATATAAAGCGCACAGGGTTTTCCTTTCTTTCATGTTTGTTCTACATGGGATCACAGGGTCAAGTAAGACTCCATGTTGCCGTTGTGCTGCGAAAAATGGCAGTTGCTGCAGTGCTGCACGTGTTCATGTGCATCGCCAAGCCTCGATGGGGCCATATGAACAAATGCGGCTTATACCACGAAAATAGGCAGATCCATTCTTTAATCTCCGAAGCTAATAAGTACCTAAGGTAAGGTGTGTCACAAACCTTACCTTTTTACATTCCCTCAGCAATGCATCGCTGGGTGGAAGCACTTGCAGTAATGATTCTGTTGGATCAGCTCAAATAAATTCACTTATCATTTTGCCGTACGACACAATCTAATCCGGAATAAAGACATAC